GGGATGTCAAATAAAACTATCAATGATGAACCATTGTGCATATTATGAAAAATAATATATTCCCTTCTTCTAACTATGAAGTGAAAATAAAATTTTCTGGCACACCAGTCGCAGAACACTGCTATATATTAATAATATAATTCTTGCAGTTATAAAAGGAACTGCTGCATTTTATAAAATAACATGAACATTTGTTTATCCTGTGTCACCTATGCTTCACTTCAGTCATTTTATCTTTATTGTGCCTTCTTTTGAATATGTTTACCTTGCCTGCTTTCACCACACTTGGTACGTGCCCCAAAATACTAAATAGAATGCTGGCACTGTTCAAAAAATTAGGTGTTCACTGTAATGGTGGTATTATTGATAGTTTAAAATAGAAAACTATGGGGGTGGGTGGCCTGTGGTGGCTTGATGTCCATACAAAGTTTCACAAAAATATGTCATTTGGTTAAAAAGTTTGTGAGACACACATATCCATACAATATAGGCATAATCCAAAATCAAACCCTACCTCCAACCAAATAAATTGAATATTTCAAATGAACCAAGAAAGTGCATGCCAACACCAAGTCACAACTATATCTGTAAATATACTGATTCTGAAGAAATAATTTAAAAAATCACTGGAAATCAAGTGTACATAAAAAGTGCATGTCATGTACTAATATTTAAAATAACACCAAGGTGACCTATAGATGGACCTAGGGTTTGAAAGTCCTGCTCACCAGACAAGGCCTTAACTCTTTAAAGCCCAATGGTAACTATATGTACCACCTACCTTAAAATCAATAACTGTTTTATGTTGACTGACTGTATTTATGGTTTATATTTTATTCTTAGAGTAACCGGTAATTACTTTAGTAAACATCACCAATCAATTTATCATAATAATGAAGACATTTCCTTTGTAATAGATTAAATTATTAAACATTATTTAGACAGTCTGGCTACAAAGGGTTAAACATTTCTTGTTTCTCAATGCATACAAAATCTGTTGCCAAATAATTTTAAACTTACTGCAGTGTCTTATGACAATGATGTTGGCATTAAAAATAGGAAGGATTTTTTCCTTTGCATAGTATAATTTTTAAAAAACAGAGGAACTTATCAGTTGTTATTTATTAAGCAGTATTTTATTTATAAAGGCAATTTAAAGACACAGAAATGGAACTGATATAAGAAATAGATAACAGAATTCTGTAAAACCAACCACTTATTTTTCATGTTATTCTTAACAATCAGTGGGACCTTCTTTTTCTATTGGACTAAAAATATTTAAAACAAAGCATAATTTTTTAGTTGTCATTATAAAATGTGATTTATTTTTAACAAAAACCTCACCTCTTACACAAAAATGGAGCTTATAACCCTTTGCATAGTCCATGATTGTACTTTAAAAAAATCAGCAATCAAAAGAACATTAGGTACATACAAATTAAGTTCTATCACTGGCAAGTCTTACCTATCATTGTGTTATGATGGTTAGTGTACTCCTCACATACATACATTTAACAAATGAAGAAACTGAATCAGAGTATGTTAATAAAAATCATTATGGCTCACCAATTGCAAAATCAACTTGCCTCAGGGAAGTGGGCGACTGTATTTCTCATTCCCTGGGCAACTCACTCCTTAAGTATACATTAGGTAGCTAGGTAAATCACATACTACATGCAGGCCAAGGTATGGGACCACCTACCAGTTTATCAACACAGCCGACCTGCACTTTGGAATACTTATCTTATACTTTGTGTTGACTAAGCAGAAACTGTTTTATCATGTTTGGCACCCAGAAATGAAGTTGCAACAGGAGGGTAATATTTGAATTTCTAGTACCCCTAACATTTACAATAGGTAAAACATCCAAAGAAGGGTATATGATATCCATGGGTATAAATAAACTGAATAAACATAACTTTAGTTTCCTACCAGCTCAACTAAATGTTTTTCTTTTCTTTTCATTTTTACATTAAATTTCACCCAGTGTGAACACGTTAGTTTTTAGCCATCAACATGAGAGACATGTAACTACGATCCTTCAGAGACAATGCTGGATCTGGGTTAGCAGATTAAACAGAAACTGTCAACTTTCAAAATGTCTATAGCAAGAAAGTAGCCAACATTTTGGCCTGCAATGGGGTCTAGGCCATCCCTTAGTCTACCTACAGAAAATTCTGCTCACTCATATTATGTTGCCCATTAACCTTCAATAGCTGTGCATCATGACTTATAAATGTATCACAGTAGCATACCACTAAACAATTAAACATTACAGTCGAAGTTTGGCTAGCACCTGCATAGGTATTTAAACTCCCTATTCCTGTATAAGTTGTCATGTTAGCACTAAATAGTATTAAGCTATCATTTGCTATCTAGCAAGTCATTACTTATGCCATCACAATTTTAGTTCAAGTGAAAAATATATGACCATTGTGGGAGGGAATATGTTCTATAATGTGTTACCAATTGGATTTTAAAAAGATACAAAATAAGAAAGTAACATAACCACTATACAGGAGCTCAGTACCAACATATTTTGCATATATGTCCTCCTGCTGTCGACAGTCATACCTCACAACCTTACCACCATTGGTTATGATATCATTACTGTTTTGTGATTCATCATATTGTGGTAATTACTTAAATTTACTGAATATACCTTCAATAAGGAATACCTATGGCAGTTGAACATGCAATATAAATGCAAACTTGATTAATTTTTTAAAATGTACAAACATCAACAGAAAATTAAAAAGAAGGTAGCTTCTAATGGCACAGATGGTGAAGACTACATGGTACAAGTCAAAATGATTTTACTCTTCTGGGGTTGGGGTCGGGAAAAAATAGACCAACAGAGTTCTACCTCATTACAGAGGGCAAACTGCATAATGACAACAGAACTGCTTCCATTAGTGTATATTTATTTATACTAAATATGCATTTAATAATGGATAAAATTTGAAATTCATCCCTAACACAATACAATACATAATTTCAATAGATCAGTGGTTCCATTCAGAGTAACAAAGATGATTTTCTTAATATTGATAGAAATATTATCTAACATGTTTTCCTGTGACAAGAGAAGATTCAAGCTTGATCTACATGTTCTATATACATTCTACACACATGCAATGAAATAACCATTTAACTTCAACACATCCAGTGCATTTGAGTAATTATTTACCACAAACAGGAATAAAGAACTGGGGTCCATATTAACAAATTTTTGAGGGACTAACTGTAACTTTAAAATTATCAAAACAAATTATGGTGAAGACATATTAGTAATTTAGGTCAATACCAGTAAAAATGATGTGACAATTGTAACTGAACATACAAACACTCATTTAAACCTTAAATTCACTCATATTCTCATGTCTGACTGCATAAAATAATTTCCTTTCTCTGTCATGTCAACATAATCCATACCATCATGTAAGAGGATATTTTACACAAGTTTATACACAACATACTCGCCTTTTATATTCATATGTCAATACATGTAGGCTACAATAAGCACTGTTCCACATAAAATTTGCAAATGCTGGCAATTATGCTACAATCTAGATAATGTGTGTAATTTGACATATTACATTATATAATTTAATGGTTATTAAAAAACTCCATTTTTATGACTTATCAAACATGTTTTAAAACATCTATTAAAATTTCAGTTTTCTAATGATAGCATTCAACATGTACATGTAAAAAATATACAGCAATTTTAAAATGGTATGTTACAAGACTGCACACACACACACACACACCTGGAATGGAGTTTTTCAGTAACCTTAAATCAAATAGAAAGTTCAATGCTGCTAAAATTAGCCTACCCACCAACAAAGCTTATTCCACTTCTGCAATGTCTGTGTCACGAGTTCTTGACAGTTTCTTTTTATTCCCTCTCTCTCTGCCCAAACTCTCATCACTTAAATTGCTTGTAGAGGTGCATGTACTGTCACTTTCTGAATCAACTGATGATAACACTGATGATACTATGTCTCCCTTATCATATGACTGACGCAAGTAATCATTTTCAAGACGCAACTGTTCATTCTCCTTTAACAACTTATTGATTTCTTGTTGAAATACCTGCATTTTGCGAGAAGTTTCTTCATCAATTTGCATTTCTCGTTTCTCAAGATCTGTAATAATATCATTAGTCTGTTCTCTCTCTGTTATCTCTACAGCCTGTGATTTTTTCAACCTTTCCTCTAACATGTCAACTTTCTCTTCAAGCTGTATATATTCCTGAATAAGCTGAGATTTTGTCAGTTGATGCAACCTCTCTGCATGTAAATCTTCATATGCATTTGAGAATTCCTTTGTTAAGAATTCCTCCTCATCCTCTGGAGATGAATAGTAGTCTTCTTCTGAATCAACACTGAGGCTTGAATCACGCACTCGGGATGGTCTTTGAAAAACTGAAGCATCCGTTCTAAGACTATCAGAATCTGTCACTGCTTTCAACTGAACATCTAAGTCTTGCAAATCGTTATGATCCTCCATCAAGAATTGTGTGGTATTGTAAGGAGCAACGGGTTGTCCATGCGTGAACATTCGAGACCTAACTTTATTAGCTAGTTTCGATTGTTCACTACCTTCCTGCCACGACAGTTTGTTGTACGGCTTCAGTTTGCGGCGTTTTGATTTTCCACGACGCGTTCTCCTTCTTTTTCGATACCGTACGTCATATGGAATATTATTCCCGCCCTTGTTTTCATTTGTTTTCTCCATCTCGTCACCAGATGGCTGCTTATTAAATGTTTGCGCAAGACATTTTACGTCATCCCTTCCCCCAGTATCAACGGACTCCCTATTATTATCAGTAGAAAGTACATGATCCGACATGTTGACAATTTTACTTATTATACACTTTTACCATTTACCCAATTACATACCGTAACAAACTTATGAAATCTTACAACACAAATACACAACTGTATTAACTTTCTGCAGTTAATTTCCCGACGCCATTTACAAACTTGCAGGTAAGCAACGCTAAGTACAACTTCAACCACAGCACTTCGCTACTTATCGCTCGAAAATTTGGCCTCCAATTACGTGTGGCCAATCTATATATTCCACTCGATACCTTCAGATTTTCACCACCAGAGTGTGCATTGTGTGAATTCCATTGCCAACTTTAATCCTTTATTACAAAAATGCTACATAAATCAAACCTCTTTGAAAACTCATAAAAATAAAAAATTATCAGTGGAACCACGGTTCCGGAGAATCTGACGTAAATACGTCTCTGTATTTAAATTATATTTAAGCAATAAATACAATGAAAGGAAGGTAGCTGAATGTAATGTAATGATATGAAATGTAATGTCAAAATTATCTAGCCTACGACGCACTTCTTCTACAAGCGATTCACAGCACAGCTCTTTCCGCAATAACGAAAGCAGATTGTTGACGGCAGTAATGTAACACGACAATGCCGGGTAAACAGATGACGTTTCCTAGATAACATAACAATGCACGCAAGCTGACCATTGTTGTCGGTCCATATTTACACATTGTTGATATGGATCTTACACGTTTTCCTAGGTAACAACAATGCCGAGTAAACACGACGTTCCATAGGTAACCATTGTTGTCGATTTGTTGATACGGATCTTACACATTTTCGTTACACGTTTTCCTTTCACTTTTTTGCCGAATGACCCTTCCATATAGACGTATTTATGTAAAAAATACTAGAGTCCATTTATACATTTTCGACCCATGTCTAATCCATGTCCGTACCTTCACTGCACTGTACAAAAAAATACGACTTACTTTTGTCAGGGCAATGTCAGTGCCGTTATTGAGTTTAAGATTATATTATCTATTAGTGATTACGGCTTCTAGGGTATGGATAACAACGCCTCTTCTTACAGAATTAGCTGTGATATATTTGTTTTGCTTCTAGATGAGAAACAGGATTTTCGGTTCTCGAGGTGACAAGTGTGAAGTTATTTAGTAAATTACACGGCGCAACAGCCCAGAAGAGCCATCTTTCGTGAAGTTGGCTGCCCTGTGGGATGTCGCGCCGTGTAGTCTGATGCTGGCTGAGGATCAGAGGTGATTGTGTCCTCCATCAAAAGACGACGATTTCATGAAATAAGGAAAAATGGAAGGTGGAGGCCAAACACATTACTATTTCTTCAACAACTTGATGATGAGACAAAATTTATGAATATGTCACAGTATTTCAGCATTCATTCACAAAATGCAATATGGTACATACAGTTTGATGTCTGAATTGTATAAAATCAATTCCATTTCCGGGGATTCTCGCCAAAACTCAGTTTACAATATCCGATGTTATATGATAGTACAACATTCTGCAGCGGTTGTGTAAACATGGTGTATAATGATCTGTGCACATAAACGTGTTAGCATTTTCACGGTTGTTTGGTGTTCGTTGAATTCGTAGGTTATATGGAAATATCGTTCTTGGCTACGTTAAAGCATGCAACTGATACTGAAATTGCCCGAAAAACATGGGTCCCGATGTGTAACTACATCTTAACGTTTAAAATTAATTTGATAATATTAAATTATTAGACAGTGCACTGACATTCTGAACACCTAATCAGGAAATTACAGTGGTGGCGATCGATTAAGGTTGCATTAAGCATTATTTTTATACTTTTGAACTCTATGATAGTGGGCCACCCATCAATGCTTTCTAATGTGCCATAATTGGTATATTTCTTAGACTGTTTGGAATGAAGCAATACCCGACATCTCCACGCAGCGGAACAAGAGTTTCAGACTTAATTAATACACCAGTGTCTGCAATTGGACCTAATTCTGAGCTATTTCAAACAAGTTCACATCCACACAATTAATTTCTTTCATTCCTGTTTGTCATCCTACACCTTATAATAATTTCAAGTCAAATAATTCTAGTGATTATGTTGAAATTGCATCTAAATTAAATCTTGCTTATATTACATAAGTATTCCATTAAGTTACCATTGTAATCATTCAATGGCTGTAGGAACTTTTCCTGAAAGACTTCAATATTCCAAAGTATAAATCACTATATAAAAAGGGTGAAAAGTACTGCACCTCTAACTACAGACCACTTTCTCTGCTGACATTTTCTAAAATATTTGAGAAAGTTATGTGCAAGAGAATAGATAATTTCTTAAACTCATACACCCTTGTATAGGATTTTGCCAAAGCATTTTTATTAAGTCAACCATGAATTATTACTGATGAAACTTATATACTTTATGGAACTTGAGGTATAGCGAGGCAGTGGTTTAAATATTTCCTAAATAATAGAAGGCAGAAAGTAAATATTAAATTTCCCATACCAATTATAATACCTATTCAGGATGAAGCATTGTAAATCATGGAGTGCCACAAGGTTTGGTACTTGGCCCCTTACTTTTCCTCACATATATCAATGATCTGCTTGCAACTATAAACTAACCCACTATGGCAGACAATAAAACTTTATTTTAATATTTTTGTTACTATACCTAATGTGCTATCAGGCTAATGTATATAATAACTGACATTAGGGTGACATGAATAAGGACACAAAGATGGACGCATTCACAGAGAAAGTAAAAAACCTATGAAAAGGAACACAAGTTTGGCTTAAACAACAAACTTTCTGGATATGATGCATCATCTTGCTTCCATCCCCTATCTGCAGACTGAAAATAGGGACTAACTCTATCAGTTGGGCCCAATGGAATACATTTTTATGGAAACAGATTTAAGTCTCCAAAACGTTTTTTTAAAACAAATATCAAGATAATGGATAATGTCCAGAAAGTTTGTTTTATCATTACAGCATCATCACAAACCTTCAGATTTAGTTTACAAGTCTGGCTACTCATTAAGCTTTAGCTTCGATTTTAGTTCTATTAAATCAGAAAGCCTAACAATTTAGACATGAAAGAGAACTGATTTATCAGAATTAGTGCCCACAGATGAATGAACAAATTTACTTCTCCATCAGTCTTATGTTTTCACTTCATTTCAATTGGTAGGTTAACTGAAATTAAACGTAATATTTGAATAAATATTCGTATCAGTTGTTCAGAAACCAAGATAACAAGCTATATTGTTAAAAAACAAATGTAACATATTGCAAGTTATAAATTGGTGTTTCAGAGAACAATTTCATTGCTTGATGAAGTCTGCACTTCCCATTTACAAGCAAATTAATTAATATCACTTGCCCTTGAGATTTGGGATTCTCATGGTGGTAAAGATGTTGAAAATGGTCTTCTGGATTGTGAAGCTATGTAGTATTGTAAGTCATTACTGTTTGGGATAACTAAAGTCTAAACTTAGAGGTGATATATTCCTCTGAAACACTGATAGCCACCTACAAGATTACAAGGCGTATGACCTGGAAGACAATTGATACCACTTCTTCAATATCCTGTTTATACTTGTACTGAACAGGAATTATGAAAAAAGATGAATGATATCTCGTGAAGACTGACAAACACTGACCACTGATTTCAGGAAGTTTATGTTACTATGGTTGTAGGAAGAGTGCATTAGGGGATACTCAGTTGACATAAGGCAACTGTGTAGTGCCTCAGTATCATCACTGAAGTGTTGAGAAAATAAACATTACATAAAACAATAATAAAACAAATAAGTTTTTACTGCAAACCACATTATACAAGAATTCAAGTAACAACCTTCACATATTTGAGAGGCTACAGAGAGATCTCAGCACTCACTGAGCTCAACCGTAGCCAACTCCCATTTGGTGTTGAGTGCTGCCTGTGGTTTGCAGTAAGGCAGAGTTAGTTGGTTAGTTTTAAATATCACCTGCTTTATTAAACTACCAAAAATTACATCAGAAAAGAATATTGTTAAGTAGTTAGTACAAGAGCCATGTTTTCAGGCAGAACTGTAGATCAAACAGATTGATTATCACATAGGAATTTTTCCAAAGATCAAAGCAACTAGTAGAGATAAAGTAGAAAAGAAGAAACATAGATGTTAGTAAGGACATATGAGGAAGGATAAATTGGATGACAGGAATACAATATGAAAACTCTGTTTGCCATGAATAATTAACACCAATATTTATCAAATAAACACAGTTCACATTTTTTATAATTATTTTATAAAACATAAAAAGTTTTGATATCCAACAAATATAACTAGGAATAACTCCCCTGGTACAAATAAGCAATGCTGGGCTTCAGGAAGTGGCTAGGGATGGTGCATCCAAACCATGAGCAAGAGGGCAGGTAACAACATGAATCCCAAGCAGCGAGCAAGCTTTGCCTCCAAGCCACTTCCCGCCGCCCAGGGTAGTACATCATACAAAAATTAGAAAAATGTACAAAAATTCATAAAAATAGTAGGTAGTGGTTGAAATGCACGCAAAGTACCCCATATTACTATCAGAATGCTAACTAGTGCATTCCTAACTTGAGTGAACTAGAACAATGGGTGATCCTCTTATACAGAGGAGTTGGGACTCTAAAGCCAAGACAGCAAGGGCTGGGAAACTTAGAGTAAAACCCTGCTTAACCAGAAAATTTACACTAGATTGAGGGGTACTTTCCATCCCCTTGCCATACTGTCCTTATGTCGGGGGCAGTCATTTGATGCGGCGTTTCCCTTTGGCTTGTTGGGTTGCAGTAAGGAACTGACCTGCATTCACAGCATTATATGCACTATATTATTGTATCAAGGTGGTAACCAATCACCAGTTAAATCATTAAAGCAAATTTATATTGCATAAGGCCCTTTCTCTCTCTTTTTCACACACACACACTCAAATACACATCAGTACATCATTGAGGGACCCAATCAACATATTGCACTAGGTAGCATGACTAAACAGAATGTAACCAACAATTACTTGTATTATACCAATGTCCCACCATTCACACCACACATCAATATCATCATTGTTTCTAGAGCTATGAACCCAAATTGCCAACAAGTCTAGGGGACAGATAGTGCCCATGGCATCAGGACTAAGGCAGCTGTTATGTCAGCATGAAAAGGATGGGAGTTGAATAGTACAAAAATCACTGCAGGATAGAAACACTGCAAACCATACAAAAATTTCCCACATATACCCAAAGAAGGGACCATTTTTTTAAACATGAGAATAATTCAGTATACAATAATACTGCACATTATTTATAACTAGTATTAATAACTGTAACGAGAAACTTAAAAAAAAGTCTTTATATATGCTCCAGATTACTGACATCCAGCTTCGCTATTTGATATTGAGAATTATTGTGTGAAAGTAACTAATTTTTATTTGAAATATATAAAAAAACATAAAAATATATAACAATCTAAATGAAGCACCATGTAGTTTTTGGATGAATATAACCATCTTATTGGCTAATAATTAATAAAACATGTACAGGACAAAGATGGACATTAATTTATATGACTGGGTACTCTTCCATGCCCCTTTCCTGATCAGCATTACTCAAATTGAATTTTGCAGCTGCTCATAACAATTTTTTTATTAGTTTTTGCTGGGATACGAAAATAGATATTCACATTTACAATCCAGAATTATTACAAAATGCTATTGGAATCGTGTACACAGGATATGCAAACCTCTTTGACAGAACCACAGGAAGGTGGGACAAGTATTAACGTTATGCATCAATTTCAAAATAGCCAAATCAGGTACTCTAAGGATGCCACATTGTGACAATAATTTAACTGGAACTGAATGTACAATGCTAGAAATTTCCAGTGTCCACAATTTGTCCCCTCCCACTTCCCTGTGACTAAATTCAGCACCACTTGTTACTAACATCCCATTTCCACAGTAGCACATTATAAGGCCAAAGAAAGATTTAGTATTCATAAAATGATTAAAGCATTACCATTTCATTACTTATTTTATATGTGAGCGACTTTTCCTATATGATTTTGCCATGAAAGGTGATATACCCTGTGCACCTTTCACATGTACTACAGACCAATGTTGCTGCCCGAGTGTCCAGGATCCAAACAGACAGGCATGGTGGGTTTTACCATATGATACAGGAGTAGTTTTTTATGCAAACATTAATACAGCACAAACCAGTTTACAGGATAAAGAATGAATCACTATAAATATTTTACTTGGATTAATGCTTCCTGAATTGTCAAAAGCCTTTCTGTAAAATTAAAATATTAATTTAATACAAATGTTCAAGTTTCAGACTTGCAAATATACTGCCATTTTCCATTTCTACGCACTAAAACTTGTTTACCTCTGAGGATGCCCATAATAATGCCTCTAATGGCCAATTTCATGCACCTCGTGACACGTAGAAATCTGTACTTTTGGTGTTTGTGCTGCTGAGGCAAAACTATGAAAGTTATCGACTGGTTACAATAGAATACATGGAATCATCACACTGGAATATTTTATACAATTTTACGAAGTCTTATTAAAAAAGTTAAATATAGTGCTAAGTGTTAAATAAGTTACCCAAGGCTACAAAATAATCACGTGTAGATTTTGTATTAAATACAACTATCACATAACATCAACTGTATTTTTTATATTTAAATTGTGGTATTCTATTTGTAGAAAAGATACAGTATATTAGGCCAGCCTATCATCTGACCGTCTTTATCCCTCCTTCAGAAGGTGGGTGACTGACTGACTGACAAACATTCCTTAGAGGTCTCCAAGCCTACCCTATACTACTTAAAAGATGGCCTCTCACGAAGTAGGAGATACCAGTGTGTACTGCAAGTATTAAACTTGAAGACCACTACTGTATTTCCTGTAGGATTCAAGGTTCTCATAGCGATGAGTCTGAAGAAGACAGTCATCTTCAATGTATTTCCTACTTCCCCACCCTCTGCCTCACATCGCAGTCCAATTTAGAAAGCCCAGCAAGTTGCCGCTAAGCACCGAGGAGTTGCCAGCTGCTAAGCAGTGAACATTATGTTGGCTGCAACTACAAATTAACTCTTAGGATCACATCTTGCCATGCATATCATGAGGCTTAACGCACATCAAACACAGAACGATAAAACATAAAAACTCATTAAAACAAAGTACAATGTAACTAGTTAAGGAAAGTAAATAAACTGTTAAAATACCATAAAACATATTCAATCATTAGAATTGAATAAATATTTAAAAACACATGTAACTATTTAACATTTAAAATCAGCATGAAAAATGTCATATTGAAAAATCTAAAATTAGAAGCAAGATTTCTATTACTTGCTGGAACTAATTCTGTTTAAAAAACTAAAACTCTGTACACCTTCCTACACCCCCCAACTGATGGCACCAAATGATGATAATTGTTTCTTCCCTGACACCTACAACAAATTTTACAACAGCTAACAGAGATCCAAGAGACACAGTTTAGAAGTCAATACATATATCTTTATGCAAAATCATGGTGATCCCTTGGAATTCAAAGCATTATAAACAGTACAAAAGGGGGTAAGTTATATTTCTTTTACAAACAATGTGATATAAAATGAATAATTATTTGTACCAAAATGGTAGTTGGTTATGTCAATGAGAGTTACCTATTTCCCCGTGATAGGAACCAGAACATTTCTATGCCAAGACCAAAGCCCCTCTACAATACCAATGACTAGAGAACTACCCAGGCAAACCCTACGTGCACAAGTGCTACTATTTAAATTTAAACAGAATTGAATGTAGGGTTTCAAATTGAAAACCTCATTTGGACAGGTGAAAAAAGGGCCTTTGAATAACAATCATAACCCAAGGCTGTGTTTAGGTAAGTGCACCAAACTTTGGTACAATAGATTATTAACAGTTTGCAATTTGCCCTGTTTTGCACTACAATAGACAACAACTATGGAAAACATTGCAATTTATATTTATATTTTTTAGGTATCTATGTAAAATTAGAAAAGGAAAAAATCTGTTTAGAAATCTGACTTGCCCTAGAAAAGTACACTGGGCACTTCAGACCAAGTAGCATCTTTACATCCATGTTTCACATTTTCTTTGGTATGGGGAGATCACGTGCAAATGTTATAAACATGACGAGCAAAGTGAGAATGTCTGTCAGGTGCTACCATCTGCTCATACCAATTGGACTGGGCAGACAGGGCAAAATCACGATACCATGCCGAGTAGATGGGAGCTGCAAGGTTTGACCTTGGATGGCTGGCCAGACAGCCATCAGGAGTGATATTATCTCCCGTGGAGGCTTTGCCCTAATACTGACCAGCTCCAGCCTTGTCTCATCCACCTGCACAAGGAACCATAAATTTTAAAAGGGGAAGAAAAATAGAAAACTAGAGGGTCAAATCTGTACCTGACGGGCCTCTCCGAGTATCCCTTCACATGTTTACATCTTGCCCTTAACTAAGATAACAACAGCTGTATAAAAAACTTTAACACTCAAAAATACAAATCTATTGAAAAAGACTACATTCGTGCAAAGTACCTACACTTTTTATCACACAGATTACAAGAAGGTGGGCTTTGTTATGTAAAGTGCCCTTTACACCTAACACCTCCTGTATAAAACAAGCACGCATGGGTTGACTGACACAATGAAATGGAGGACTAAGTAAAATAACAGGACAGTCCTGCCCTCCCTCCTTGCTTCTTCCCCTTCACAGGAGGGCAAGAGCATATACTTGAACATTTAGCTCAGCTGAGGTAAGTGACAACATGACACAACATGGAGATCACTGCCAGCTGAAGTAAGACATGCACACAGACTGGAAACATTGAGGTTATAGTCAAGTGAATAAAATGGTGACTCCATGTCTGACACAAGACATCTACCTACATCTTCATGTATAAATGATGTCTAGGATCATTATCACATGTCAGAAATAGCAAATCATGAGCAAACATACATGGGCATACACTTCATATTAATGCCAGAATAAAAATGTACTGTCATTGATGATACAAATAGATCCATCTCAAGTGCACTATACCAGTCTTTGAAAAGAAGGTACAGGTGGCATGAGTAAACCTACAATACATTACGCTAAGTTACAATACGCACATGGTACGTAGTCTACATTGGACTGTGAAGGAACAGCCTGAGTGATACCTATGGGTTGACATCTAAAATATGGACAATTTTATATTTTCACAGTAAGAATGAGCCACAAGGCAAATGACTACACAGTGCTCTGTATGGATTTAATTCTGTCAAGAAAGGTCAAGAGATGTTTTACTGCAAGGCAGATTTTGTTTCTTAATTGTCACCATCACTTGATCAATAGGAAAATTTTTAAACAGGGGCAATGAATCAGTATTCCTAAAGGTTGAATGGATAACAAACAAGCTGAGACAAATATACAGATCAATTTATGACAAATGTACTTTTTATAAAATGTGTGTGCACAACGAAGCTACAAAAGTCAAGTTTGTTTCTTTTTCTAGATTCTCTGCCAATGCTTTTGGTAAAGAGACTACAAACATTGTAATAAATGTGTAAATTATGCAGTTCATTACCTAGGAAATGTATCAAAAGTATGTAACAGGCTGCAGCCCAGCAACCAACTGACCATTTGTTGGTCAGTAGCAATACGAGCCTTTGTAGCGGCAGATATCCGTCTGTGGCAAAAATTCATTATGTACAAAAACGAGACCCAAAAAATAAATATGGAAGATACACTTCTCAATATGAAACAAATTAATGTACTGAATAACTACCGGTATATTTTACAACGACTATTTACACCAAGGAGGTATGAAAATTACAAGGTCAAGGGAAAGTATGGAGGAGGCTAGATAATTGGCAAGTTTGTTAATTACATGCCTTGTTACGCACTCTGTACGCCTGATAGAAAAGTAGATTGAACTATTAATGCATATTTACAAATACCCTGAAAATTTACAAAAATTCTGTGTGAAGAATTGGCAGAGATGCTAAGAAATCACACTGTTACAACTGCTACATACCTATGATACCATCATCGGTGGCCACAACAGGAATTTTAGTTTGCCTCATGCGAACCAGTGCATAATTAAAAGGAATAAGTTATCTAATGGACAATCTGCTCAATCATGCTACATTTTGAAGAATTCATTCTTTAAAAAAGATATTTTAAGAATGTGTGGTTACATACCATATATGTATAGATATATATATATATATATATATAACTATATAATTATGTTCTATATATATAAACAGCGATGAAAACAGCTAGCCTACAGTTGTTATCGTGATGGTGGTTTTGAGGCGACAAAACGACGCACTTGCTATCAAATTTCCTAGTTGCCAAGTTCTGTTGAACGCCCCGTGACGACTTGCTGCTGCATAAAATGTTGAATGCAGCAAAGCGATGGATGTTGGTGCCACACCACCCATCTTCCCAGGCTGTCTACACACTGTCTCCAGGGCCGTTCGATCGTTATGAGCTAAAGCGCTCCGACGTTAACACCAGCGGAATGGGACAGCCCGTGGGCGGTCTGCCCCTTCCTTCACTAGTGGCTTATGGAACTCGCGTCCAGGCCGGGAATGAATGGTAGCCCAGCAGTGTTCACAGTAGTACTGAAAATATCAGTATATTTAAATTTATTAAATTTGCAAATATGTAACAAATAAAGATATCAATTTTTATAAGCACGCTGTGATAAGATAATATACACAATGGTAACAAAATGTAACAGTTTAAAAATGTTGTAAAATGAAGTCCCTTTCACTGTAAATCTTGGACTTGGAAAGAATAAAAGTCATGATGCTGGTGCAATTACAAGAAACCATTGGATTACCAGAATGGATACTGCGATCAGATTAAATGTTCATGTTAATATGAAATTAATAGCACAAGAGATAAGTTAGTACTTCACAGCTGTCATTCATAGATACTGAAAGAGTACACAATATGTGAATATGTGTATGTACATGTTAAATGAAAGAGAAGAAGTATTTTCTGAACTATAACTACAAAATGTTTTAACACCAAAATTACTAACTGTCAAAATGAACATCATGCTATTATGAACAAGACAATTCTTACTGGACAAGTTAGTTAATGTAAAAGGCTAAGAATTTTCAGAAGCTGTGAATTCAGATTTGAAGGACATTTTAATTTACTATTTTACTGAATAGAAGAGTTTTGGCATGATTGCTTGCTAAAACAACCTGAGTACATGCAAGGTAACTGTAAAAAATAATTGTCTCCGTTAGACCCACTAGAAGGACATATTTGTGACAAAAGAACAAAATATTACTTAACAAAAATTTCCTGCCTACTCTTTACAAAAATCATACCAAATATAAAAGCCCCTGCCAAAGAAATGCTGTTTCATAAATATTGCTGAAAATTATGAATATGCAGAACATATATACCAGCTTCTTCTATGATGTAACAAACATTTGCCTTATTTCATGCTGGCACTTCTGAATTTCTTTAAATTTAACCACTTTCATACCATCTTCAAAGGGCAAGTTTTCCAATATCACCCTGAGATCTTGCATGTTTATACATCATAATGTACACACATGGGCCAGATTAAAAAAAACAAGTAAAAACACACAACAAACTAATTTCATTGTTGCTTTATACATTATCATCATTCATTTATGTATCTACCAGACTGAGACATATTATGAGAGAGCATTCTCCTTCCACAAAATCTTACAAAATATTAAACTATGGAGAATCATACTAACCTGAAGACAAGTCACATTAGCACAGAAAAAAGGTGCAAATTTGCCTCCACAGCGTTGACCCTGGCACTCATCACACATCTGGTCATCCAGCACATATGGCTTAACCTCCACCTTTGGTAAACAAGCAAAGATTACACTACTGACTAATAATTGGATATATCAAGGTGGCTGTGCCGGTTTAAACTCTTTCTTTCAATGTCCAATACATAAACATAATCTCACATAGTCTTATTTTGTGACTTTTAAATGTACATCAATGACTGAGTTACCAAAAGTCTGATGTGATAACGTCTTGTTGCAACTAACAGAACTTAAGAACTAAACATTTCTTGCAAGGAATAGTTAACACATTCAGGCTTCAATGGAAATTTATCAGACTATCCCAGCTGGTTGGATAGTTTTGTACATTTACTGTATGAAGGCCACCTTTTATCGTTTATCTATAGCTCTTAGTTTTTGTGCCAGAGTCTGTCAGTAATTATTAAAGCCAAAAAGCATATGAAAAATAAAAGTACATACTACATAGGAGATGTACTAATAATATAAAGAAACAACTGTAAATTTTTTTTTAGTAAATTGACTTTTAGGAGATTACAGCTTCGATTTTATAAGTGTTGAAGTAAATTAATTTATCTTTTATGATAATTCATACTCAGTTTAATTAGAAAACAAACTCTTTGATTCCACTGATTAAGTTTCTTTTCTGGTAATAATCCTTACAAAAATATACTACTGTCCATACATCTATTCATGTCAAACACTGGGACAAAATGTCAATTACTAGCACAAGCAGAGCATTTTGTGATAATTACTGGTGTTTTTATAAGTTTCAATGTTAACTACTGTTCTATTAAACAATGCTGCATTGTAACCTGTATGTATTAATTAATAAACATTCTTGAAAGTCTCTACTACTCAAGTGTGTCATAAATTAATTTAAGAACTCTTCACATTTGACACAAAGTTAAAAAAATATTCAAATTTCACAGCTGATGGTATTGATAACTGGGACATCCATCTTATTGTTGTTATTACTATATTATGGTTAAATCACTTAGCTTTGTATGACAAACCTGGAGTTTGCATATCTTTATATGTAATTGAAGAAAGATGTTTGTTGCATTGACCACTTTTAATGACTCAATTATCCTAGGTCTTCCAATGTATTTTGAATACAAAAATGCAAGGATTAGGAGACTTACCCTCTTATCTATATCACCATGTTGCAGCTGCACAAAACGAGCACTGATGGCTGCAATGTAGCTCTGTTGATTGCTGAATGCTACTCGACCAGCTCCTTTTGGGTACTTTAACTCTGGGTCAGTGTCAATGCCAGCATAGCACACGCCGCCATATAAACGGTCCATGATCATCGCCAACTCCACTATGAGCAAAGTTATTCACAAACTTGTTACGGCAGGAAACAGAAACTGCTATCATTTTAGGATAACCAACAAGGTTTAACCCTACAAGCACACACATGTGCACATGAATTCACCTCTTGATACTGTATTTATTCCCTTGTGAAGTAATTAAAGTCAACTAAAAATACTTCTGCCAACATAGCATAGCTACTGGTAGGGCCTCCCTAGCCAGATTGGTCGAGGGGGAGAGGTCAGACTAAGACAGGTACCCTGGTCCTCCAGGTTGGGGGTTGGTTGCAAGGCTAACAACCTTGCACCGTGAAAAGGAAGATGTTTTGAAACCTCAATCAAAGCCTCGGACAGGGAGGCCATGGACCGAATACAGACCGGAGAGCCATAGAAGAAGAAAAATATTTCTCTATTGGGGTAGTTTAACATAATTACTTATTTCGAGTTTTGCATAAGTTCTGGAAAAATGAATAGTACTTCAAAACCAATTTCAACAATAATTTTATGTTTCTACAACATGAAATGCTGTTCCACTTCATTCTTCTGGGTACTGCACCACAATGAAATGTCAAAAATTAATGAAATTTCTGAGAAACTTCTGAAAAACAGAGTCAAGATTATGGGAGTGCAGTGTCAGAAGGAGGTTGATTTAGGAATATAACAGACTGTGACTGGTCACACACAGTCTGCAATGCGATGGGATAATAAGTTCCTATAAACATCAGTACATTTTACCATTTTAACATGGTATGATGTCTGGAGCAATCCACAGTGAACAAGTATCATTACGAAAACTTAAATGTCATAAAAGGATGTTTCATTTCTCTTGGAATATATTTCTGTTCTCAGTTTGCTCATTAAAACACCAACTGATGCATTTTAATTAATTTAATTATTCACATACCTGAGATGTGTTTAAATGTTGTCTATGACTGACATCCATATGTGTATAAAACTTACACTGGGTTGGTACCCATCTGCTTTAAGGCAAGATTTTGTGATGATCTTGCTAAGTGAAAAGTTATCACACTGTCAGAAGTGGACTCTTCACCCATGAATCTATTCTGCATGAACACTGATGACGAATCTATCTAGCAGATGCTGTGCCATGTAAGCTCCTTCATAACTACACTTAGACTCTTGAACAGATTCTACGACATCTTGCACTGTCTTACTGAAATTCTTTCTGTCAATACTTTAGCCCTCGAAGTTCAAAATGTAACTTCAGTTTCAATGTCTTGCAGCATTGCTGGTAGACATATCAGACACAGTACCAAATACGAGTCTTGCGCTTTTCAGTCATTCTATATCACCGAATTCATACTATGCTTCAAATTGTTCTAACCACACTGAAAGTTGTTTCCCTTTTAAATCAAAGGGCTAAAGATGACCTACTTTGAGAGCCACATTGACCATGGTTTTCTCCTCAAGAGTATTTCTGACTTGACAAATTAAATTTCTTGACCATTCCGTCCAACATCCTTTTTAAAATAAGAATCCACTTTTGCATGATAATTCATGACAAGACAACCAATACATCTCTTACTATGTGAGACTGTTATCAGAAGTAATGAGATCTTGCCTTCAAACACATTGGTGCCATTCTTAGACAACATATACGACACACAAAAGTGTCTGATAATTTTTGTGTTCAAAAAAAACTGACCTGCTTTCAAAGGGCGTGGTACTCCACCCACAAATACTGTTTTGCGTGGGTCCAGTGGCATGGAAGCATCCAGCACAAAGTCAGCATCAGAGAGTCGCCAAGGTCGGATCTGCACAGGCTTATCTTTTATTGTCGGTGATGAAACACACAGATAGAGTTTGTCATCATCCTGAATGCAGGCATCAATCAGCTGTTGCACTGAGCTTTCATCCTAGAAGCCACAAACAGAAGTATGAACATTCATGTTGAGGCAAAAATATAGCAAACAAACCAAATAATTGATAATGAAATTAATTTAATACAATATATCGTCAAATATGATAAAATGAACAACCATAACCTCAATTTAATTTCACTTTACCTGAAACAACAGGAAGGCATAACCCTTGGGAGGAAAGTAAGACTTGCTTTCAGCCTTGTGAGGCCAATCCACTACCAAAGGGCCAAAGCGACGGAAACTAGCCGTGATTTCATCTGGAAACACATCATCAGTACTGGCAATTAAAATTATTAAGGTTTTTATGCATTTTCCACATATACAAAATAATACTAATTTTATAATGTAGAAAAATGCTATTGGTAAATTTGTCTCTGATGCATAACTAACGATAACGAAGATATGCAACGGAATTAAAGTATAGTTCCGCACATTCTCAATCTGCGCAGAAAATGTTCATGAACTAAAATCATGAATTGAAAGTATTGTATGCATAAGCAGACTGAATAAGACAAAAGCAATAATACCAACAAATGAAAGTGAACTCAGAAGTGGAAGTATTCAAATTTAAAACATAAACAGCATAACCACAACCTAGCACTAAACTTCTGTGTATAAAACACAAAACTGCCGTCATTAACTGACAGCGTAACAGCTCAACTGCTTGAACGTGACTGAATGCCAATTAAATGAAGAACACAACAGCCTTTCATCAACGCATAGCAGAAAGACTTTAGAATGAAATGATGGGCTATACCCACACATTATAATAGTTTTCATAAACATCAATTATTTTGGATCTGCAGTGTAAAAACTTCAACCAACATACCTTCATCAATATCAGGAGGCAGGCCACCAACAAAGACCTTCCTGGAGTAGCGTTCTCCTGTCTCTGACCCCTGGCTATGTGGGGATGAGCGTGAAGGAGAGCTGAGTGGGGGTGCAGCTTGAGGCAGCACTTGACCATCTACCAGATGTGTAGCTGGATCCTCCAGCAATGCTGCTTGTTCCTCCAACCCAGGGAAGAATGGTGACTTGCCTGCACACACACACGAAATATCAGAGGGTGTCCAACATTTTGCAGTACGAAAGAAGTTTTATGTCATTATCCATTGCTTTAAAAAATTATGCTATATCATGTATGTCTTTTAATTAGTAAGATGGCTAACACTGAAGCAAAAGTCAAGAACTGAAGACGCACTTAAGCCTTTCATATGTTTGTAGCATGAAAAGAACAAAAGTAGAAAGTTGTCAATGTTGTTGTTCAGGGTTAACATGCCATGTGGACTCGTAGGTAGATACCGATGTTTCAGACAAACATACTGTCTCCATAAGCCCTGAAGATGGAAATGGGGTCGGTGTCAGCAAGCAGCCATTTCTAAAACGAAGTATGCTTCAACTTCCGCAACTACAAATGGTATTGATATTCAATTATTGATTTTTTCCTGAATTGTTGATTTAAATAAGATCTCACAAAGGAAGTGTTTAAAAGTAATTTATATATCAAAATGTAATATGTAATTGGTGAACTTAATATGTTGAATTGTTAAAATAAAACCAAGACGCTAATGCACTTATTATCGAAAGTTGTTTGCTTAAATACAAACATAAGGTTGATTATAGTGAAACTGTACCTGTCTACAAATACGCGAAACTTGTAAGTAGTAACTGTTACAATGTGACTGTATGCGACTTTGTTCATTTGTGTATTTTGTCCGTTGGGAACATTCTATAACTGAGGTATATTTGTATTTTCTGAACATGACGTTCTGTTTGCTAGTAACTGTGAGACGCATTATCTGTCCAACTGTCGACTAGCCCACCCATTCGGGTATCCGTCCGCCCCTCCCAACCCAGTACACACTGTACAGACAGCCACAAACTGAGCTAACATACAAGCAGTTGCTTTTGTGGAAATGCGATCAGGATACTTACCTTGAAAAAAAAACTAGGATTTCTGCAATTACTGTCATTATGACAATTATAAATTTTAATGCACGTCTTACGGCTGGGTTATGATTAATAAATTGGAAACGACACAAGGTAATGGTCGCGTTCTAATTTAGGTTTGTCCAGGCATTTGGTTGGAGTGACAGGCCGAAAACTTAGGTTATCCGGCCTCTGATTCAAGATTTGGACCCTGGGTCTCCCTAAAACAAAGCAGCGTTGCTAAACACTAAGCCAAGCGAAAAAATAATCAGAATTAGAGTTTGCTGTTTGAGAAGCGGACAACGGTTACGCAAGTGTACCGCAAAGGTTATTACAGGTAATTCATACAATGGAACGTGTACTTGCATATCGTGTTACAAATGTCTCCATCAGCTATTTTCCTTAACAGATTGTTTAAAGTCACTGCTACAGCAGAGAAACTACAATGCAAGTTGAAACCCGACATTTCGGTATGTCGCTATTATCAGCCAGCGTGGAGGTTGGTCTAGAAGTAATTGCAGAAAAAAATAAAGTGTGAGGCTATGTTCATGTCTCGTGTTCAAAATGCGAGACAAAATCTTAATACAAAGACAGGTAACAAAGCCTTCTAAAATGCGATAAGTTCAAATATATGAATATTTTATCTTCCTGTCTTCTATGTACCATTTCCTGTTATTTCGTATGGGTGTAGAAATCTAAACTTTGGATACAAACTCGGAAAAGTTATAATTAAGTTTCAGAGGTGCTGGAATTCAAACATGGTCCAGAGACGGGAACGTTTATTTCGATATAAATGAAAGCTAAATCGTTCTCAGTCAGAGCACAGGCACAAAATAAACGAAAGCAAGTCATTTGCCATATACTAAGTGGGTCTGAAAAGCAGATATTATCCTATGACAATGAACTGGTTCCTTCAGCTTGTCACGTAACTCGTTTTTCCTCCAGTGAACATACACTAGACCTGTGCGTCGTTGCCTAAAGAGTCTACTTTATAAAGCCCACTGTAGAGAACTAAAAAATCTATTGCTTTTGCTCTGGAGGGAACGGGCAGACAGAATGGATGATGAGATGGGGTTAGGTTAGGTCGTATGCAAATTGCACGAGGGTGGGATGCAGTGCAGTTCGGTGTTGTAGTGAAAGAGGAAATATTCAGAAATCTAAAGCTTGCTCTTGGTGTTAATACTCAGCAGTGGAGAAGACCAATCGAAAGCTCCAAGTAAGCTGCAGAGGGCTTTGAATACTACAAAAAGCCTTTCGTCTGTGTACAAAACCGATTAGACTAAACTACAGTGCACGAATTATCACAGCGTTACTTCAAACCAAGTACAGAGAAGAATGAAGGAATTACCAATAAAAACAGGCGTGTCCCCAAAATTCCACTGCTTGTATACAGAACTTCAAATAATTTCTTGTTTTTATTAGACCACTTCGGTGGATCTTGCTTCCTGTTCGGGCTCCTGAACCATAACTCAATGCAGCAAAATGAGAGATAACTCTCTTTTTATGAATTTCCATCAGATGCCATAATGGAGGATGTTCTAAAACGAAGGAATGGAATACGGCACAGGATGAAGGAAAAACAAAAATTAATTAAGAAATAAGAATGGATAAACAATAAAAACCCCAACGCTTTTAACTAAGAATATAACAGTATAACAGTTGTACTGGATTGCATTACAAAACATTCTACGGCACTGAACGTTCATCATGTACAAGTCTATTTATTACCAGACTTACTTCCCAATCTCTTGTTATTTACCTTCTCACGAGTCATGTGTTGTTGAATATCATGAGTAGTTCTCCTTTTATTATATTTCGTACATATTTAAATGGCTTTACACTTATATTATCTGGACCTGGACTCCCTGTATTTAATCTAAAGTAAAATGTATGTAAATTATTCTGAACTTAAATCGAAAGTTTTGTGACGATGTTGTAAAATTACAATTTTAATTTAAAATAATGTTTCGGAGACTGGAGTCTGCCTCCATCATCACGCAAAACCTACTCTGCTCGTTCCATTCGTAAGATCTTTTCTTTTTATAATCAACAGAGTAGGTTTTACCTGAGGACAGAGGCAGAGTCCAGCATTCGAAGCGTCGTTTTTTTATCAAAATTAGGGCATGGATAATGTCAAAAAGCTAGTCATTCTTCTTAACTTATTACTTCTCGATTCAACTCTTCAGTAGCTTCACCTGTATGATAGGCGTGTCTGCGTTTATGAACATATGGCAAATATATTCCTACATGCATTCAAATATTAGACTTTATTTACAGGCATACTGAGATTTATAATGGCAGTAATCATTCCAAATCTCTGTTGTCAAGGAAACGCGAGAAACTCGATTCTAACGTTGAGTTCAGATTGGAGATGCTATGAAATTTAAGCTCTGCACAGGATGATTGTTGATTTTATGGTACATAAGTGCTCTACGAGGTTTATAGTAAACCATTAGAAATTGTACCGCACAAAACGTATAAAGGTCTGAGTGGTATTGTCGAAACAGCTAGTGCTTCGTCAGGATTTAAAATATACGGAAGTGTCCTTAAACATTTGTACACGAAATCAATGTATGAAATAAAGACATTTCAATAAACTAAATCATTACATACGACAGCAATGAGCAACTTACTGACAAACGGCCACTAAAGTTGCTGCTGTGTATACATCTTTCTGGTACATCATAGACTATAGAATGTAGACTGTACTGAAATAATGTAACAGCGTGTTTATTATAACAGTCTTATGAATATATATTCCCGTTAGACGAAATTATTTTATATGTTGTGGTCTACTGGGTTCTGATACCGTAAAGAGTTGTAGGTGGTAACCAAAGTTTCAAAGAAACCTGATCCTCCAAGACGGTGGTAACCACAAACAAGGTTATGCGATGTCACAACTCAGATGACCACAATCTGAAAGTCTAGTCTCACCGCCGCCACAACATCAGCTCTCATAAACGCTTATTCGCAAATCACGCAACCCCACACATACAGTTGTTGTAATTGGATTTAAATTCTTTCTGAAAAATTTAAAGGACGATAAAACTTCTTAAACGTCTGTTATTCTTAACTTTCAATTTTCAAGCTCAGGTACTTCAAATGTTCGCGGCGAGAGGAAGAAGCCAATAGATAACAAGTATATGATAATGACGTGTTCCAAGTGGTCCTAACGCTAACAAGAAAGTAATGCTCTGAGATAATTCCTTTAAACCAACTTTCCGGGACATAACCTGCCCTCAGTTGAAATTTCACTTTAACCTTACTTTAGGTTTTTTTAAGACGCTCACACCGCAGCACGAGAACGACATAATGAGTCTGGAAAAGTCAATAGAAGCAGCTCATTAACTGAAGAGATAAATGCGGTAGGAGAACATTAATGAGGAAAAGAATATGGAGGAGCGAGACAGTTCCCGATAAAAGTGTCTAGCTGCAGATGATTTCCTGCATGTAGTGAAGAGTTTAGAATTCGTGGAGCTACATCTCCATGCATGGCGTCATGCTCAGATACCAGAGGGCAAATTCACCTTTAATACAAAGGAAGTTCACCTCATTTGGTAGGCTCTATCACTTCAATCTATGCGCACAATGATCTAAGGAAGTACTTCAAGGAAAGTCTGAATAAATACGTCCTGTTAATTATACTCCATCATCTTCTTACGACACTAAAAATAGGTTTAATTCGGAAACTATAATTAATTACCGGTCCCTTATATTCGAATCATGGATATGTTATGATATGAACCACAATTCAGGCTCAGATCACTACGCTTTTAGATTCCTCTACTTTGCTGTGTCAAACACCAGTAGGTCTGCTTTTATCTAGAACCTACTATGTATAATTTCTTTGTTGTGTCAGACAGACCGCATGATACGTGTGAAAGACGAGACAACTTGTCAAGAAGAATGTAAGGTAATGTGCTGACGAAAAGAGACAAAGCCAGCGTATGGTATTGATGAATTACAACATAAAAGAGTAGAAATACATATTCAGCATGTACTGTCCACGAGCCAAGAGAAGTTAACTTGGAAGTAATGATCTTGTAGCACAGGTACACTCCGTATTTTCCTATTCTAGACACACACACACTCCAGTAGTGCAGTGCATTG